CAGTGAGGAAAACCACGGAAGGATGGAGTCAGGGATTGGGGGATGTCCGTGCAAACCAAGGACTATGTGGAGCCACAGAAGCAGCAAGCTGAAAACTGCAGTTATTTCCTGGAATACCCAGAGAGAGTGTGCCTTGATATACCATGGTTTTTAAATTCTCGGTTCCAAAAACTCAGAGCTAATGCACTTCTGTCTTTCTGGCCTTTCGCGTGACTATCTATTATAGCTTCTAGGAAAGCAATATATACTCCACGGTCCACAGCGCAGGAAATGAAAGAGAAGGGAACTGCTATCACCAGACACACCTATTCCAATTCCTCTTCATTTACACTTAGTACAGCAGCCTGCTTAGCACACATCACAGTCAAACTATAGTAGATAAGAGTATGGATGTTTCAGCTAAAAGGTTTATCTCCTGAAAAGTTCAACTTAATTGAAATATAAATGGTGTCTTTCTGAAAGTTGAATGGGAGGGACTGCAAGATAAAGTGATAACTGAATTTTAATGAACAACAAATACTTTTAGTATTAGCATGCTTGAGATATTACTTGAAAGCCGTCTATGCATGAGTGAAAGACACTACATTATTTACATGCGATTAGCCTGTATTCTGCTCACTGTGTCAAGACAGCTAATCACAAACTCAGCTCAGGTTTTTCTTCTACCTAAAACAAAACAAAACAAACAAAAAACCTTATCTTTGGGGCAGTAGAGATGGCTCTGCTGTTGAAATGGTTTGTTAGATTTTTTTTTAAATCAACGTGACACAATTTAAGGTCATCTGAGAAGAGAGAATTTCAATTAAGATTCATGCAGATCTATAGGTCATTTTCTTAGTTACCCATCGGTTGGCAGTGCCACCTATTCAGGGGATGTTAGGTTAAGTAAGAAAGCAGGCTGAGCATTCCTGCTTTGGTTTTTCCCAGTGGTGGGCTTGGATTGAGTCATATAATCAAATAAACCCTTCTTCTCCAAATTGCTTTTCGTCATGGTCTTTATCACAACAACAGGTGGCAAATAGGACAGCAGCTATGAGAATTTGCTGCTTTCAAGGAGAACCACAGTTCAATCCCTAACACTCACATCAGGCCTCTACACTGTCTCATTCCAGCTCCAGCTAATCTGAGTCCATGACCCTTTCTGAGTCCATAATCCCCTGCATAACCCCCTTCATGAACCCCCTGGATGAACTTTCAGACACACACAAACATGCACACATGCACACATACACACATGCATGCGTGCACACACACGTGTACACACTTAAAACAATTTCCAAGAGCAAAACTGGCTGGGTTAAGTTGAAATTAACATCTTAGCTACACAGCATTTTCTTCTTGCTGCTAAGTAATATTTCCTTAAATACATAGCCTGCCTGTTGTCCTGAAAACTGTTCCATGCTTCTATTTGAGAATAATTTGCTACTATCAGAAAAACAGTGTAGTGTTCACATGAAATCCAGACTGGAAGCTGTGATGAAGTAGGATACGTGGGACAAGAGGCTCTGGGTTTAGATGTGAGTTTAGTATATTTTATATGCTGCTCAAGACAGGGTAATGGGCTGAATGCTAGCATACATGGCACATGTTTGAAAATCTAATAATGAAACCCATGATTCTGTACAATGCATATACATGAATAATTCTTAAAAGGGAGATAGGAGAAAGATGACACAGCACCTCAAGGGCAGAACAAAGCCTGCTATGTTCAAGAAAATGGCACCCTATGATGACACAGTTAGCCAAGATTATATATTTATAAGCATGTTGAGTCTCGACACAATTGCTCACATTTCTTAGCGTATGGCATCTGAAGCAAGTGCTGCCTGCATATCTTATGACTGCCAGTGGTGACTGCCTGTAAACTGTTACTTGGTCAGGAAAGTCTCTTCCTTAGCTATACACTGAAATGTTCCAAATATTCTACTTCACATCATAATTTTTCATATACAACTTTAGCATAATTTCTGCCTGGGATCATTATGACCAGGGTGTTGTTAAATGGTAGCTTTGTACCCAAGGAAAGCTATCTTCCTCTCCTTCCTACCCATGTTTTAAATAAATGCTGATTGGCCAGGCAGGAAGTATAGGAGGTGGGTCAACCAGACAGGAAGGAGAGGTGGGGTGATGAGAACAGGAGAATTCTGGGAAGGAGGAAGCCCATTCCTCCCCAGTTCTGCCCAGATCAGCAAAGAAGCAGAATGTGACCTGCCCTACTGAAAAAGGTACTGAGCCATACAGCTAATATACATAAGAATAATGGATTGATATAAGTTAAAAGAGTTATCAAGAAGCCTGAGCTAAAGGGGCATTCAGTTTATCATTAATATAGACCTCTGTGTGATTTTCTTTGGGGCCAAATGGCTATGGGAACTGGGCAGGACAGAAACCCCAACAAGTCCAGCCACCATGTTACAGTTACTATCATTTTACCTATTCACTCTCACCTCATTCTTGGCACCTGTTCTCACCTCTAGTCGAAATGTTACCAAATTTATTAGGGTCTAACTTTCTCTCTGTGTATTCTTTTGCAGAAATTAGCAGACTACCTGATTTATTATAGCTCTTCATTTCTTACAAGAAAAATTGCTTTCTACTGATACCCTTTTGAACTTTGGTTACATGAACCTAATGATTTATCTTGTCAATTTTTCCACATTAACTTCTAGACATTTTCCTTACTCTACTCTCCACCCCCTTTCATTTTTTCTCACAATTATAGACTATGCTCTTGCACGGATGATCTATAGGTTTTTTTTTTTTTAGCTATTCACCTATCTTTGGGTAGTTATATTGTTTCAATAATTACATAACTATAAACAATGCTACAATCAGTAGCTATTTGTATATTGTTTAACAATGTTGGGAACAGACCTGGGATTAAAAGTTTGATATTGTTTCTTGGTCTAATTGTATTTTAGATCAAATGAGTCAATTTAATTTGAGATCACATTGAATAATAAAAATATTCTGTTAAATGATGCTAATTGCATGTTATTTGTCTTTATTTGTTTCTTTATTCTGAGATGGTCTAATTCGATAACTATTTTTCTTTAGCTTTCAGAGCAGATATTTGATTCTGAAAAACTTCCTTTGTCTACTTAAATTTAACATTTTTCTCACTATCCATTCATTAAGAATGTTATGGCATGTATTAGTTTTTGCTTAAAACTGAATCAATGTTTAAAGTTTCTGGTTATGAAAATTTATTAATGCATTAAATAATTCATCATTTAGAGACAAGGGATATAAATGATAACTTGTATCCCTAATCTTGTTTCTTTGACATCTTTTGTAGTACGGTGCAGAGGCAAATACATCACACGGTCAGGAGGCTGTCTGTATCCAGAGATAGTCTGGTGTAGGCGTAGGGAACATTCTTCCTCCTGATGGAAGGTGTACATCTCTACTTAGCATCCTGAAGGTGTGGCTTCCCACTAACTTTTGCAGAAAAGTTACTGGATGCTTCCTTAGGCTGATGCCCAGACTACTGGGACTCTTTTCATGATTCTGCTTCTACTCTGTGTCTAGAAAGTTCTTGTGTGCCCAAGACATCAAGAGATTGCTCAAGCATTTGGAATCTGAGAACTAAAAAGTACTGGCTGCCTTTTCCCTTAGGACTGCCTACAAACTTCTGTATACTCCACTAGGAAGTAAGCAGTCAACCAAAGTTCAGACAGCTGCTGATTGAGGGTATCCAAGGTTTGAGGAGATGGTATTCTTGGATAACACAACATCAGCAGATTAAACTGAACGGCTCCAAGTAACAAAAAACATTTTCTATCAAAAGTCAACTTCTGACACAGCTGTGTATATGTATTGTCACCAATCCAAAGATATGTCTATGTAAATGCATGCCTTATCTGTGTAAATGTATGAGCACCTAAACAGATATTTGTGTAACCTAATCAAATATAGACTCATTTACATAAACATATGTTTCACCTGTGTAAAAGTACACTTAACCTATGTAAATGTATGATGTATATGTTGACATATACATCACTAATGTAAATACATGTCTTATTTATGTAACTGTATACTCACACATATATAAATATATGACCACCTATGTCTTACCTACATAAATTATTTAAAAATATGTCTCACCCATACAAATTTGTAACATGCAGGGCCTGCTTGTTGGGGTTTCCATCCTGCCCGGTTCCCACAGTTGTTATGCCCCAAAGAAAATACACAGAAATCTATATTAATGATAAAATCTATATTAATAATAAACATTAGCTCAGGCTTTGTATTAGCTCTTATGACTTATATTAACCCATTATTCTTGTATATGTTAGCCACATGGCTTAGTACCTTTTTCAGCGGGGCAGGTTACATCTTGCTTCTTAGGTGGTTGAGACAGGACTCAGAAGGAATGGGTTTCCTCCTTCCTAGAATTCTCCTGTTCTCATCGCCCCACCTCTACTTCCTGTGTGGTTGACCCACCTCCTATACTTCCTGCATGACCAATCAGCGTTCATTTAAAATATGATTGACAGAATACAGACAATTCTCCCGTACTACAAATTTACATTCACTTGTGTAAATGTCTCCTCAACTATGTACCTATGCCTCAGTTATGCAAATGGATGCCTTATTCATGTTTATGCACACATCACCTTTGTAAATAAATGCCCACATGTGCACATGCATATCTCACTTATATAAATGTACACCCACCTATGCATAAGTATATCTCACCTATTTGAATGTGTGCTCACCTCCATACATGTATACCTTAATATAATATATGAATGCATGTCTCACCTGTCACTGATACCATGCACTGAGAAATCAGTATTGTAAGAGTTTTGTGGAAACCTCACCAGCTGGGTCAGAACTGTGGGAGCTGTATCTTCCACTTCAGAGGAGTCAGGTCACATAGTAAAGTGAGTCTCTGAATCCAAAGTTAACACAAAAAAAAACCCAAAAAACAAAACCTGCAACAAGCACATAGAAAAAGCTTTGAGGGGACACTTTTCTGAAATGTTTACCTCCTCGGTCACGGGCAGCTAAACTTAGACCCCTTCGTAGTGTGATGTCCAACTGGTACATTCCGGGATCAGCCAAAGGGACATCTGCATTACTGTTTCCAACTGTATTTATTTTCTGAAAAATAAGAAATATACAAATTACTAAGTTTATTTCCTTTGGTCTAATTTCTCCAATGGGAGACTGCATGTTGCTTAAAACGAATTATGAGAATTATCTAATTGAATCAATCATCACAAACAGTTCTCTGAAGGCTTAAAATTTATGAGTTTTTAAATTAGAAATAAAAGAATGGTAGCAAGATAAATATCCTATTTTAACTCTGTTTAGTTAGCAATTTAAGTATTAGACACATTGCCTATAATGTAATGACTGTATAATTAATTCATTTAAGAAAAATTAACATAGAAATAGTGTGAAGTAAAAAATACAATGGATGATGAATAGAAAAAGATGTGCAAAAGAAGCTGACTTATACACAACTTAAAATTAAAAGGATTTATTCAGATGACTGTATTGACTCATTCATTTATGCAAATATCTCCTACTGATGGATTATATAATTCTATTTCAGACCCAACATAAAATATGATATAATATATAGAAATAAATTCTCCCAGCATTTTGACAGTATTTGCAAGAGACAAATTTTCAGTGGGGTTCAATTCTAATGCTTCCTTCTTTGGATCAAAGTGCTCATGGTATTTATTGATCCACAGACTTCAGCAGGGCTGCCTGATGGAATATTTCAAAGAGCAATACAATAAAAATGCACAGGCCACATTTTTTAGTTTTAGTTAGCTTCTATACAGCAGGAGAACGTACTTTATTCCCAGGTTTGAGACTATTTAAGATTCTCATTTCTTTTCTGGTTAAAAGGGGATGTTCTTTCATTTTAAAACTTGCACGGGTAAGAAAGAACAGAAATGAGCAATCTGGCTCCCGGCACCACAATTAACAGGAAAGGCAATTATACAGCAGAGTCAAGAAAACTTTACTGAGATCTAACTCACATACCACAAAGTCACCCTTTAATCGAATCAGTACTTTATTTGAGGTTTTAAGATCCATGTAGAAAGCTTTCCTTGTGGAGCAATTATTACTTAAGACAAGAAGCACTATTACTTTGATTGACACTTGAACTCATTGTCTCTCCTCTGTTAACAATGAAAAGAATTCATCTTGTTCCCCATAATATTCATAAATGGTAGCTGCAGTCCCCAGGCCCCCAGGCTGTAAATTTTGAGCCATCTTTGACTTCTTCATTTGCCTCCTACTCACACCCAAATAGCTGCTAATCTCACCTGCTCTTCTGCATGAGATCCCCAACTGCCTTTTCCTTATTCCTGCTAACACTGACACAAGCCAAGTCTCTCACAATAAACTAAGACTCGATCGTGTCTCTCACCCTTCTATGATAAGTACTTTAGCTGTTTGGGATGTAAGTATTCCTACCCTTCCTTACTCAAGTGTCCACGAATACACATGTTGAGGCATATACTTGTCAGGTTTTACTTTCCAGTTTGAACAATGCTAGTATATTTTCTATTATTCACAATTTATTTAAGAAAAATATCACAGGAACTTATCTGACCAAAAGATCTCTCTCTCTCTCTCTCCTCTTCTCTCCCTCTCTCCCTCCTTTGTTCCCTCCCTCCATCCTCCTTTCATCCCTTCCTCCAACCCTTTCTTCTGTTATCTTTCATATCACTCCTGGGCTGTACTGATGTGTAACTAATAAGGAAAATCCTACTATTTTATGGCATGTAATAGAATGACTTGATAGTCATGTATTTTTGAAATGATTGTTGCAATTAAGTCAGTCAATACAGCTCTTACCCTATATTATTAAGATTTTCTGTACTTTGTTTTATGATTAAGAATATTTAATAAAATTTCAAATATACAATTCAATGTTACTGTCATCCTTCTACAGATTGGGCTCTAACTACTGAAAGCTTTTGTGCTTTGACTGACTTCTCCCCCTTTCCCTGAACCCTGTACATGGCAGTCACTATTTTGTTGCAAATACGTACTGCTGGTGTCTTCTGTCTCTCATCTTTGTACACACTGTATGTTGTCATTAAACTCCTGAGAGTTAAAGCTGTTTCATTCCCTCTAACTTCTACATTTCTTACCTTCTTAACACAACAGGATAATCATTTTCATAGTTAAAATATTCTTACAATTTTTACTTTTATGTAGTTGTTTAAATTATTAAAAGTAAGATTTAAGTAACTATATGAAATGAAAACTTTTTAAAATATATTTTATTAACTATGAGAATTTTATGGAAATTTTTAGATCACATTTACCCCCATTCATCTCCTAACTCCCAGATCAGCTCCTTACCTTCTCATCCCTCCCATTTCCGTGTCTTGTTTTTTTAAAATAATCTACCAAGTACAATTTCTGCTGTTCATATGCTCTTGGGTGTGGGGCCATCCACGGGGGCATAGTTGGTAGCCAGGACTTGTAAACTCCCTTTTTAATACATGAAGTTGTCAAGTACACTTGGATCTATATATGTTTCCCTTCTAATGTGTATTTCCATGTTCACACCAAGGCATTTGCATAAAATACTTTGAATTCTAGTACTTTAGAATATGTAGCTACTATCAGTTCCGTTTTCTAAAGTTTCTTAAATATTGTTGCATTTTTACTCTTTCTAGCAAGGCTGGGCCAGGCTGTCTGGGGTTGAACAGCTTACTATTTCCATTATTTACAGAAGTAACTTAACTTGCCTTAAGTATGACTTTCTCCTATCTTAATAAACAATATATTGTGAGTTTGAATACATAGAAAATATTAACTATCTGGCATACAGCAATCACTAAAACACTGGTAGTTATTAATTTTTATATATGAAACAAAAGTCTTATATTCTGATCTAATATACACTGAATTTCTACATCAATCTGAGAAAGATTTATAATTTCATGTATTACATATTCCTGAGGTAAATGTAACTTCCCCATTATTTTATGCTTTCCTTTGAATCCTTTAATAACATGATGTAGTTTATCATGTAGGTTCTATCTCTATACAACTAATTTCATTCTTGAATGTTCACAGTTTTTTTCTCTACTGCAAGTGGAGTGCTTTTTTCAATTTCCATTTTGATCAGTTTATTTCTAATCTATTGGGCACACATTATTTTATATAGTGATTTTATTTTCTTTTATTTTGCAAGTCATGTTTTTGTTGTGTACAGAAAATATGTTCTGCATATAATGTAAATTCTTCTTCACCTTTATTTGCAATATGCTATTTGCTTAGTTTTTAATCTTGTTGCTTTTCTAAAAGAGTATTTAGAATAGAATAGATTCTGTGGACATTTCTGAATTTCATGCGATTTAATTTTTTAATTTTGATATTATAATATAATCATATTATCTCCCCTCCCCATCCTCCCTCTACTCTCCCATGTTCTTCTGTGATCACTAACACATGCTCATTCAACTGAAACTCTTTCTTCTACTCTTCATTTACTTAGGTTTTAAAAGTGGGCCTCAAGATGATTTTACAAGAGATTTATACTGAATATTTGGTTAGCAATTTTTCTAATATTAAATCATCACCATATTTGAGGAGTAACTTTGACTTGACCTTGTGAGTGCATGTGCTTTAGTGCATAGTGGTGGTTATGTTCATAACCATGAGCATACCCCCACATATGTGTATGTAACATCATAGCTGTTAATCAAGCATTAATTCCCAGTCCCACACAGTGTCAAGTCAGCCATTCTAAATGTGCTTGTGACTTTTGCCCTTCATAGATTCTGTTTTCCACAGCAGAATATGAGTACAATTGTCATCCTTCCCTCTACATTACCACTAACTTTGTTCTCCTGGTTTCTATGCTTGCCTACATAGAAAGTCCTTAAAGACAGTTGTTGGCTTTTTTGTATCTTTCTTTTTCACTTCTGTATACTATCTCAAATACTTCATTTGTCATTTTAGATGGTGAAACTTTGAAATAAAGACCTGAGGTGTTTAAGGATAAAACTGACCACAAGTTACAATGGAAGCTTCAAGGACAGTTGTCTTCAAGGCTACAGTTGTAAAGTGAATCTAGAAAAGTATGTAGATTTATTTCCAAGTTAGCTAATAACCCACAGACACTTTGCTCTTTCCCTCTTCTCTATGCTGTCTAATCTGGCTTGGTATCCTTTTTCCTTGAGAAACCTAAGAATGCCCTTAAGAGTCTTCCTAATATAGTGCTTCAGCTAGCTTTATAATTGATAAAAATGGAATTTAAGATGGAACCCTATCCCTCAGTGAACTACATGAAAAGAAGACTGAAACATAGAGGTCTTCAACCATTAGAAGAACAAGACCAATTATGACAAAGGGAAGACAATCTCAGGAAGCCTCATAGAGATGTTAGGTTCAGGGACTAAAGTTTTGGTAGGATTTTGTTAAATGAGTATTTGGAAGAAGCAGGCATCAGAAAATCAATGTGGGCTCAGGACTGTGTACTTTAAAGATGGGCATCACTGCTTTGAAAGAAAGAAAAATACTGGAGTGTGGTGCTACTGCGAAGATCTTAGCCCATGAATAAAAAGAAGCCTCCATGGACTTTTGGAAAGAGAAATCATACATACAGACTGCACTTACCAAATATTTAGTATCTGATTTTTTTTATAACAGTGCAATTGAAATCACAGAGCATGATCTAGTCAATGGTTAGAGAAACAGAGCTGGGTCTGAGAGATAGGGAGAAGATGCAATAAACTGAATTTGCCAACTGACGAGATGAGGAAAGCAGACAAGAGTCATGTAGAAGCTGAGTTTGAGTTCCTTGGGGGAGGGAATAGAGTGGTGAAAAACAGAAACGAGGGAAGGAGCGTGATCAAGACCACCACATCAGGCTCCAGCAGCATCCCAGCCCTATGAAAGGCGGACCTCAGTGAGTTAAGTAGATCTAGAGAGGTACGGCCCCACAGATTTGCACAATGGCTTCAAGACTTGCAGGATCACTGGAAGGAAGTGACTTGTTTTTATTATAAATTATCTTTTTAAAAAATGTTTTTTGCTTTTGCACCAGGGCTCAGCCAGATCATGTGACACTCACCTCTCATCAAATAAACCTTAACAACAGAAGAAAAATATTA